ACTCGCGGGTCTTCTCGTCCTCCAGCTGTGCGATGTCTTCAATCCAGACGGCGTGCGCTTATTCCTCTCACTCGCATCCTATCTACATGATCATACTGGCTGACATTAACTTATGGGCGAGCCACACGACTGATACCCTTCAGAGCCCATGCTCCCATTAGATAAGCAACATACGTTCTTTAAGACTCAGCAAACTGAAGATTGATAAGCGCAGACGCCATTCGCAAGGATTCAGGATTCTCAAGACTTCAGCACGAGTGTACGACGGACGCATTGCGGCATAATCGGCCCGCAGAATACGACACTGCGGACATGGCGTCAATGTGACGGCATTTTTTAATATTAGAGTTTTTGCTTTGTTCGCATGAATCACATTACGTTAATGATGTTCCGTTAAATAATAGTACAGGTTTTAATACCGGAAAAAAATAAGATAAATAACATTTCAAGATATATGATAGTTTTTGACCGCGTGTCTCTATCTCTTTTCCTGCGTTGAAACAAGTAACTTGAATATGCTAGGATAACTGCAAGTACTAGTGTGTTAGAGGATATTTAAAACATGTATATAAATATCAAAAAGGGGTTTTGTTTAAGTTAGTGCCAAGTCTGTACTAACGCACTTGAGTGGCAAATTTTTTGTAAATTGGTTACCTAAAATACAAAGCGAGTATGAGGGGCAGTTATGCACGTGCGTGCACCCAAATACCTAAGATCAATATTAAGAGCCATAACACTTCTAGTATAATATCTTGACTATTATTATATTCACGAGTTTGCCATTTTAACTCTGTGTGGATTAGCGCTTGCATTTGCCGCTAATCCACTCTAGTCTGAGAACACTGCTCGGCATTGGTTACAGCTAGGTCATATTGAAGCCTGTCGCCAAGACGTGGTGGCCGTGGCGCTGGCAGTGATATGTAATAATTGTTTTGTCGGCTGTACATTTAGCGTCAGGCCTGGATGCGTGCGGACTCTAGACATCGAGGACCGTTCACTCCCGAGTCTTGATTGTTGCCTATTACAGGGAGCAACATGGAGAGAGACTGCAATTCATAAGGAGAAGCAACCACTGTAGATCGAACGCTGCACGCTCGCTAGGCGCACTCTGTGATACACTCTAGATCCGGGGAAGTCCATGTACGTCGTCTAAAAATAGGCCGACCGTATCAACGAAACTAAAAGGTGAATACGATGGTTCGCTCATAGTAACCCGCGACTCCTTGGCAGCGCGAATGTGTATCCCGCGGGTTTATGTTGGGTGTGAAGATAAGTGCAGATAACTTGTCGTTGATGATGAGAAGGTTGTGACTGAGAGAGCATCTAGTTCGTTATATCATAGGTTTACTGTGTAATAGGCAAAATGAGCCTTGATACGTATCTTAATTTGCATGTTGAAAATTATGCCATTTTAAAATTTTGAATGTTAGTTGTTAAATTACATGTTAATCGCTTTTATGTGTATTCTTGTTCCGAAAGCGCCACACGTCCGCAGTGAGCATATGTGCATCAGAAAACATTCACACAGACGCACGCGACTCCACGCACGTACGAACGCAACGCCACGACCACGCACACGCACACGCACCCACGCACGCGCACATGCATTATGAGAACTTCTTTATCTGCTACTACTTGTTACTTCTTTACTTGTACAGTGTAATTGTTCTCGTACTTGTACTTGTACTTGTACTTGTACTTGTACTTGTTACTACTTGTTACTTCTTTAAGTGTTGTAGCACGTGTACTTGTATTGTTTTGTACTTGACTTGTAACTTGTTACTCACTTGTTTACTCCGTCTTTAAGTTGTAGCAGGTGTACTGGTGTGTACTTGTTACTTGTACTTGTTCTTGTTACTTGTACAGTGT